CATTAGATGAAAGTATAATTTACTAGCCTTTATGTTAAGAACAGATGCAAGAATTGTAAGGATGGAATGAAATTATTTGCATCATCAGGAACTTCCATCAGTTCACTATTAGATTTTTTGTTCACCTGGGAAACCTTAATTAGTCAGTCCTGCAAATATAGAATCATAATAATAATAAATATACATATTATATACTGTAAATATTACTACCTGGCTTAGGAAGTTCTGGAAGACGCAAAAGCCGACTTGTGTAAATAGCCTGGTGATGTGTCAGGTAATTGATCCTTGCCAATTTGACTTTTTTCGTGATTGTAGGTAAAAATGCTTTAATGTTGTTATAATATTCGCTTATAGAAAAGATATATATATTTTACAACAAGTCGTTCACTGTTAGAGTTAGATAACTGTCACAAGTTTTGGCCTGACGCGCTTCTAAATTCTTCAACCTTAGTTAAAAAGTCGCGAAACCTTTTAGATACATACAAAAATCGTTAACTATCCAGTTGCTATACCATAAATTAATTATGATATATCACCTAATATGCAACTGATATTAATCTTTCAAAAGGTATTTTTCACAAGTGTATATTATGATAAAGATTATTGATTACTACTTGTTTTGATTATTTTTAATCAATACGTGACAGGGACACGGAAAATTATGGATCCATAACTTTCTATAATTTTTGAAGATAATCCAAAATTTCGGGGGTTATCCAAAAATATCCATAAATTTTGGATTTTTGAGAATTACAATCCATAATTTTGCCTATAATCCAAAATTTTCTATAAATTTAGCCAAATTATAATACACACGTGATAATTTGACTTATGACTATAAATAGGCCCAATAGAATCATTAGAAAACTTTTGAATCTTTGCGTCGTTTTGCGATATTATTATTTCAATTTTACTTGGGCTTTTCCTTTTTTATACTCTTCGGGTGTGTTAATATTACTAGCAATACGCCTGTGAATATACATCATATATATTTTAAATCAATAAAAATATAAGGATTCCGAAAAAAAAAAAAAAAAGATGCCACCCACTAAATCCGTAACTGCAACCTCTCGTGCAAATGAATTCTACAGATATTTATGAAATATCTAATCCTTCGGTTGACTTATTCGAGAATGGGGAATTTATTGTAACTTAGACTTAGTTTCAATTGTATATGACCATAATGAATTAGATGTTTTTTGGGAAACAATGTCATTAACTCTTCCGCTTTTATCAAATATAGCATTAGATTATATTTGATTGCCAATTTATTCATGTGGAGTTGAACGCAGTTTTTTGGCATACAACAACATTTTAGAAAAAGATAAGCATTGAATCATTAAAAATGTTAAATATGATGTATTTCAATAAAAATTGATATCCAAAAAAATCTATAAAAACAAAATTGATATCGAAAAATACCCATAATTTTTGAATTTGATATCCAAAAATTTATTCGTTACCCAAAATAATTTTCCGGGTCCCTGATACGTGATTACTTTATCAACACCAATCAGATCTCATCAAGAAAGTTAATTATAGCTGGTATTGTATAGTATAGTTGATTAAAGGAGTATAGTATATAGTATGTGGTTTAGTCTACAGTATTGGTTATACTAACAGTTTAAAGTAAAATTTTTTTATTATACAGTATATATAGATTGCTAAATACAATATATTATTAAAAAGCATTCTTCTATTGATAGTTATAATTTTTATAATTATTAAACTAAAGTTATAATGTTAAAAATATTTTTATTGTTTATTTTTTTCTAATTCATATATATAAGATAGATTTTGAGTTGAAGTGTTTTTTTGATTTTAGAATTATGCTAATTTTTTTGAGAATTTCTTTATAAAATTCCAATGCTTTAAAAAATTTTCCTTGTTTAAATATTCATATGCTTTTTTCTCAATAATATTGTCATCTTGCATTAAGATGTTTGAATTTATTGTATCAAGTAAATAAATAGATAATTTGCCTTGTTTAAATATTAATGTGCTTCCTTTCTCAATACTGCAATAATATTATTATTTGAGATACTGCATTATACCAGATAAAGAAAATGAAGATAACATCATAATTTCAAGTGAATTTATATTGAGAATGTTTTGTTATTTGGAGCTAATCGCAGGTTGAATCAATGAATATTGGGTATATACCGGGAGACAAGTTCCCTGATATGTACCCGAAAGTCTGCCATAGATCCGCCAAATGCCTGCTATATACAGCGGCATATTGGAAGCTTATAGGTAAGTAGAGATATCAATAACATAACAGCAAAATATTGGGATATCCCGATATCTTACCTTTAGGCCCAGGGTATTCCAAGATTGTGCTGTTATGTTACCGATATCGATGTACCACTCGATATCTTACCAATATGCTGCTGATACAGCGGATTTATGCCAGACTATCGGGGAAGCTTGTCTCCCGTATGTACCCGATATTCATTGATTCAACCTGTGGATGTTTCAGTTGGTTTGAAGTATTGAGAATTAATTTAATTTCTGGACGATTAGCAGGATCATTGTCCCGCATTGTTTCTGTTATAAAGTTCAACATCTTAAGACAATGTATTTTTTATCTATTTCTCGTAAATAAAAATCCTTAAAAACCATGATTTTCTGTTTAAAGGGCTATAGGCGTCGGTTTCAAATTATGTTTATATTTGTAGGCAACAAAGTATTGAATTCGATATATCATGAATAATTGAGTTTGAAGTTATAAGCATTTTATTTATTTGCCCCAATAGTCCAAAATCTGCGATTTTTGATGAATTAAGATACCTCTAAATGCTAAATTATTAGTGCATTAGTGAATTAACAAAATAAGATCCAGTAAAATATGTGATATTGTATTTACAATGTAATATTTTTATCATGTAAAAGGACTGATGGACATAATATCCGTAACATCATAAATAACTCAAGAAGCAGGGTTTTATCTTATAGTGCGCCAAGTCACTTCTCATCAAAAATCATGTATATTTTAAAAAGTCAATAAATCTTAAGTTTTAAATATTTTTTTAAAAAATGTAACCGATAAAAACTATTGTTTTTCATTAGTACTATCCAAATTATCGGTTAGAAATTTTAAAAAAGTTTATGAATTAAAGCTATAAGTGTTTAAAGCTATTATGTTTTCAAAATTTTGGCATTTAATATAAAAAATTTAAAAATTTTTTTTACAATTTTTTTATCCAATCAGAATTAGTATATAACACATTCTGATTGGCTAAAAAGCATTGATATACCCATTTGATGTGAAGTGACTTGGCTATAAGAATTTAGTCTGAAGGCATTACTCGATTTATATACTTGCCTGTTGATTTAAATGATGCTCTAAGGGGAGATAATGAAACTTTTGTGAAAGTTTAGTATTTAGATGTAAAATTTTGGTCTTTTTGCATTTTAATAAGCTTTGCATATACATTTAAGATAACATAAGTCACATTTTCTAAATTAGCTCTTGTATTATTAAATAAAAATTTTTAAAAAAATATATTTGCTATTCTGACTAATAAATGAGTGCTATGAAAGGAAAATGAAACTTCGAAGATTTCAGTGTTATTACCATAATCAGATTTTTCACAAGTGAATATGATAAATAATAAAATAATAAACTTGAAAGCTCGATGTTTTATTTTTTTTTTGATAGTACTCAATAACTTCTATACATTTTTGAGTTCATATATTTTAACTTTTATCATTTCAATCTTTTTTATTATCTTGGTGAGCAAGACAACTTCTTTTTTTTTATACAATTTATTTTATTTCTAAAGATCCTACATTTTTTTTATCCATCAAAACTTCGTTAATTATTCTTACATTTGGAATCTTTGCTAACAAAATCACCCTTCGGGATAAATCAGAAAAATGGACATGAAATTTAAGGAATATCAGGTGGCAGGTATTAATTAACGATTGAGATCATTTAACTGCACAAAATTTGGCTCATAGTTTAGGTTGAACGATCAAAAGTTTCGAAATTGGTATTAAAGCCAGCTAGACACGGTTAAACAATTTATTACTTAAAATTTTAAATACTTGAACTAATTAAATTGTATCTATATAACGCACATGAGTGTTATTTGAAAGATCAGGTTCGAGAAATTTTTATATTTTTCTCAAAATAACGCTCATGCACGTACTCTAAATTTCGCGACAATACGGTATTTTTTTTATAGCGACAATTACCAAATGATGAATGAGCAAGTTTTCCAAAAATCTTCGTGGTTAGAGGTATAACTCGTTAGAATAGTTACGCAGGTCAATTAAGATGGTACGTATACGAAAATTGATTATAATTGTGTAAAGTGCGTGAACCATCTCATGGCCAGCGAAATTTTTCAAGGTAGTAACGCTATACGGCATACTACATCACTCACGGCAATATAACTTCGACCTCTACGTCATAGCCGTAATGCCGTAAGTAGTCACTACTCTGAGAAATGTCTGCATCATTACTAATTTGTTTGACCCGAGTCAATCTCTTACCCGAATTTTATCGACTCGAGTTATTACTTTTGACCCGGGTAATATCTCTACACAATACCCTCCAATACTCTTCAGTAGGTATCGTGTGATTTTTGCATCATTCAAGAATCCCAATTTTTTAAATTCATTGCTTGTATAGTATAAAGAGTTTCTTGTAGTATAGGTAGTACAATACAGTTATTAATAGTTATTAGGGGGCATCCATAATTTACGTTAAACCAGTATTGTTTTAGAGATCTTAAAGATAATACAAAATAATATTATATGGTATTATCTTCAATATTTCTATACAATGCAGTACTCGTTTAACGTAAACGTAAATTATGGATACCCCCTTAATGGAGTAGCTTTTACTGCAAGAGACTAAAAAGGTTTATATTGCCTGCTTAATTTCGTTAGTATTCGCCTTAATTATATTTGTATATTGGCCACAAATGCCAATTTCACCTTAAAATTATGGTTACTAAAATTTATATTATCTTCTATGGCGATTTAAATAGTTAACATTGTTTCGATCTTCGAGTATCAAATTCAAAGGCGTCAAATCGAAATACTGAAAACTTATCACTTACAACCACTTTGTACGAATTTGCATCTGCTATTACGAGCTTTATTAAAAGGTATGACATAAATACATACTATGGGGCATCCATAATTTACGTTAAACCAGTACTGTATTGTATAAAAATAGAAACCTTGAAAATAATGTCATATATTATTTTTAAGATCCCTATAGCGATACTGGTTTAATGTAAATTATTGATACCTATATTTCTATATACTAAGAATTGTTCAACTTACCATCACATTACATGAAAAAAATGATGTCCACGAGCTTTGTATTATAATTATCCCTAAAATAGATATACCTTACTCAGCAAGATACGATGAAGTTTTAAGAAACTATCACAAGAATTTTTAGAACTCTCATTTTATACTAATTTCTTTTCCTTTTTCTTGTAGTCGTCAACTTTTCATAATATAAACCTACCATAACTCAAAAATAAAACCGTTTTCGCGTTCTTTTATAGTAAGGTGATGTTTAATCGTCTTTAAAAACTATATTTTACTGAGGTCCTTTGGTGAATATAGTAAAAAAAAAGTGTAGATTTTCTTTCTTCAAACGTGACACGTATGACTTAGAAACAACAAACAATATTTATATGTTTATTTTCTCTATCTCCTAAGCTAAAATTATAAAAGTTCAACACCTTTATATTCATATTTCAATTTATTTTTAAAAAACATGGTGTCTTTAATAGCTTTAATATAGAAGTTAGCTTCTTAACTTACCTTGAACATACCGCATCATGTGACATAAAAATAAATGTAAAAATTTCTATCCTATGTCGCGATATAAGGCTGAAGTTTCGCAGAACTATCTTGGGTAGAGAACAAATGTTCAATTGAAGAAAAATTTCTTACCAATTCAAAATAAGGTAATATTTTAAAATAACGCGAACTCTGATAGTAAAAAGTTACTGCGGAAATTATATCGTTGTATTACTCGTTAATTAGAAGGAATTAAGCTCTCATTTTTTGTATTTAGATATTGCAAAAATTGATGTTTAATATGAGCTTAAAAAATAGAATGGTTAATTTACCCGTTCGTGAGATATGAATTTTGGGCACAGTGA